GGTCTCGTATATTATTCTTAATTGGGAATCGATAGCTCGCCCGGGATGCCCAATTGTGGTAGTCTAAGTTAGATGCACATCTCTAGCTATTTTTCAATATAGGGATGAGGGGGCGGGGGGTCCACAAAATTCTACAAGCAGGCGTTGTAGACAGTCTTCAACAAACTATTAATAGGATATAGGCTTATCAAATTTTCGGCACTGACTTTTTTATATTATCTCTTCATATTATTACAGCTAATAAGAATATATATATATATATATATATATATATATATATATATATATATATATATATATATATATATATATATAAGAATATATATATATATATATATATATATATATATATATATATATATATATATATATATATATATATATATATCTATAATATAAGCGGGCTGAGCGTGTCCTTCCTTCCGTCCGTCATCGCTATAGATTTTGGGACTATAAAAGTAAACTGCGCACCACGCTGTGCTTTTCAGTGCACCGCAGTGTCTTATTATATGTATTAGAGTAGGGTTTGTTTATATAGCGGCAAAGAGCTATTTTATAATTTCCACTGTTTGTACAATTTTGCATAACGTAAAGAGAATATTAAATACACGCACATTGCTAAAACATATTAAAAGGATCAATGTCAAATATTGTTTTCTTTTTTATGCCTGAGAAAGGTGGAAACATTTTAATAACGTAATAACAGTAGGCTAGAAAAATCAAATTAATTTAACTCTTTTTTCTAATTTTGACAAGGGAGGTAATTCAAAAATAAATTTAACTCACGCTAATAAAAAAAAAATGTGAATGCAAATGTACGGACGTACTAGAAGGAATTAGTGTTGCAATAATATAATTAGCAAAATGTGAATGCAAATTGTGCGGATGCGGATTGTTAGAAAATTATAATTAGCATGGATTGATAAAAGGCAATCTTTTATTTATTTCATTCACTGAATTTACTGTTTACTATTTATAATTTTTAATCGACTATTCCGCAATATTATAGGCGCGTCATCACCTTCATTGGGTGGATGGTGCGCAATGGTTTTAGTTATGAAACTCTATTGTAAATTTTTAAAATTTAAAATGGCTAAAACATACTTAAAAAATCAATGTTAAATATCATTTTCGTTTATATTCTTAGAAAAGATGGATATATTTTCATGAAAGTAGGTCGAAAAAACTAATTAATTCAACTTTTGTTTGGTAATTTTTTTGCAAGGGAGGTAATTTAAAAATATATTTAACTCATCAATATCTAAGTTAATTTTTTTTTATTACTACCGCATTGATTATTACATGTTAAGGTTCATAATTAAAAGAGAAAAATGTTAAGATTATTTATATTATTTATTATTATTTTCTAATTAGTCTATGATTTCTCAAAAATCACTTTCTTTTTGCTTTTGTTTTTCGGTGTTATGAAAACAGATGGTAAAATTTGACTTTTTGAGAAGACTAGAAAGGCTCTCTCTGAGCGCGGACGTAAGGGAAATTTTTTTTTTTTTAATATTTAACTCACTCTCAATAATTTAAGTTATTTTTTTATTACTTCCACATTGATTATTATATGTTAAGGTTCATAAGTAAAATAGAAAAATGTTAAGATTATTTATATTATTTTCTAATTAGTCTATGATCTCTCAAAATCACATTTTTTTGTTTTTGTTTTTCGGTGTTAACAGATGGTGAAATTTTAGGATTATAGTATAGAGAATGCTGAAAAGGCTCTCTACGGGCGCGGACGCCTGGGAAAAGCGTGTTTTTCGGTGGTGATTCTAATTACATTGCCAATGTGTTTTCTTAGAACCATAAAAGTAAACACCACTTGCCGTACATTTATTTGCATTGCATTGTTTTATTGTAAGTTATGGAGTAGAATCTATTTTTGTGACTTAAATAAAGGCTCTCTTTGGGCGCGGACGCCTAAAAAAGCGTGTTGTTTGGTGGTGATTCTAATGTTGTGGCTGTGGTTGTTTTGTGGTTGTTTTTTTGTTGTGTTGAGGTTGTTTTGCGGTTGTGTTGTGGTTGTGTTGTGGTTGTGTTGTGGTTGTGTTGTGGTTGTGTTGTGGTTGTGTTGTGGTTGTGTTGTGGTTGTGGTTGTGTTGTGTTGTGTTTGTGTTGTGTTGTGGTTGTGTTGTGGTTGTGTTGTGGTTGTGTTGTGGTTGCGTTGTGGTTGTGTTGTTGTGTTGTGTTGTGGTTGTGTTGTGGTTGTGTTTGTGTTGTGGTTGTGTTGTGGTTGTGTTTTTGTTCGTTTTGTTCTGTTCCAAAGTTGTACATTTAAAAAGATTTACCGTGGCGGAGCACGGGATGCAGCTAGTATATATATATATATATATATATATATATATATATATATATATATATATATATATATATATATATATATATATATATATATATATATATATATATATATATATATATATATATATATATATATATATATATATATATATATATATATATATATATATATATATATATATATATATAACCTTTGACCTTTATCTCTAATGTGAATGTGGGGAGGGATGATGCAGGTCACGTGTGTGGCACCATCTGCCACAGTGTCCAGAACACCTCGGCACAGTTCGCTTATCGCAGACGACACGTGTCACCATTCCCAGACCGTAGTGCCTGGCAGAGCAGAGCAGCCGTGACGTCCAGCCGGCAACATTTTGTCATGCCGGCAACATTTTGTCGCGCCGGCAAGATTTTGTCGTGCCGGCAACATTTTGTTAGTTTCTCAAGCAGACATTTCAACAAATTTTGGGAGGTTGGGAAAATATATTCATGTTTTCAAATAATTAAGACAGAAACACACACACACACACACACATATATATATATATATATATATATATATATATATATATATATATATATATATACTTTTTACTATACTACATTTACAAATACGCCTTTCATTTTTTACTTTTGTCTATCTAGCCTTATACACCAGTACATAATCTGATACAAACAAACGTAAAGTAAAGCGCGTACAGACAGATGTAACTAGTTTCTACACTATAAAACATGTTATACACTTTAAGATTTGACATAATGAAATTGAAAAAAAAATGAATTGACCTATTTCGAGTGCGTAAAACATTTGGCCTATTTCTGAGTAACTTATCTGGCAAGTCACCGCTGCATGCGGTGCTGCCCAACCCGTCTCCCGTGAACTGCACCAGCTGTTGCGAAGAAAGAAGCGAACGACATCACCGAAGGCCGATTACATACTTTTTTTAATACAGATCTTAGAATATTTTACTTATTTCTTTATCTCTTTCTTTCTCAATGGATATTTACGGCTTACAACAAAGAAAATAGCTAAGGTATGGTAAAATTGGGGAGGGGGTGAAAGGGAACCCTGAAACAATGAGTAGGTCCCCGAGCGTTGTTCAATGAAAAACAATGGCAGTGTTGGTACGGCGATAGAAACAAGTGAACAAAGAGACGAATCTACGCCTCACACTTCTACGTCATCTAGCTGCCACGCGATAAGGGGCTTTTCCTAGGCGATAAATGGCTATCATGTTCTATAGCCCGAGGGTCAGGGGGGGGGGGGGGGGTGAAAGCTGGTCTTAACCATTTTCTTGACTGGCTATACCCCCACCATCACAAAAACTAATTACTAATGTAGGGTTGACACTGTCAGTTTTTTTAAACAGGCCTATAGTCACGCAAGTTGGTCACTCAAACTGTGCCCATTGGCGCCACAACCAGAGTTTCTTCCAGACATCTCTTCGGGAGGCCTCCCCTCCCCCAAGAAAGTCTATCGCCCCCCCCCCCCCCAACGAAAAATGGATTTTATATAGAAAATATATTCTTTTGACAGTGTCCGCCCCCCCCCCCCCCCGGAAATTGTTGTCCGCCGTCCGCCCCCCACCCGAAAATTTCAAGTGCACCCCGGAGAAATAAGTCTGGAAGAAACACTGGCCGCAACATCCACAATATTTTACATTGTAATTATTTCTCCCCACAACATATTTAATATAAACTCTTATTGCACACATTTTACATGCATTAATTACATCTGCATTATAGATTACCGCGTGTTGACAAGTCGACAATGTTACGATAAAAAAGTACCCGATCATTAATCTTAACCAACAAGTTAAAATCAAACCAAGTACCATAATTTGTAGTTAGGTCTGTCCTGTTTTTTTAAACATACCCCAGGACTACAGCTGCGCACGCTTTGATAAGCGTCACAAGTATTCCCTTTTTTATTTTGTCACTCAGCTGATTCTATTTTTAGTTTGTCCCAATTTGAACAAACTAGCACCCAGATATATCCTGTCGAGCTAGTAGGCCTATGTAGTGTCATTTTATAAACCACTCTATACACCTGCTATGTGCACTGCACCAGCTGTATGTAAATACAACATACCCAAGGTCTATGTGTAGCCTACATACTGCCATTATTTACCCAAGATAAAATAAACTACTGCTACTGATTGACATTTAAAATGTCTGTATAAGATTAAATTGTCGTGCTTCCTTCTTTCACATTGTTTTTACTTTCTATTTTTGATTTAAGTATTTTTCAAATACACGAATAATTATGTGAATAGCAAGAAAAATGTCAATGACTCGAATTAGGGTTGTGTGGTAAAGTAGCATTTTCCATGTGAAAAAGGGTAATTTTGTATAACTTTTTTTTTTTTTAGAAAAAGATAAAATTAAAAACAAAATTAACCAAGGCCTCAGAGGAGAGATGCGAGAGGGTGGAGGGAAAAGGGGGCCCAAATATCGTAAACCCCCGCTTCATGCGCTGGCTTCGGTGGGGGTGAATACGTTCATTGAAACCATTCAACAAGTGTTAGTAAAGTTCTGCGAAAAACCCATTGGCTTTGGCAGCACAAGCTCCGCCTACATATTTTCCCGCCATCTGACCGAAGCACTCCTTTTACTGGATGGCGAAGTAGTTTACAGTATAAATACAACTTCGGCCTTCCACTGCCACTTTGTCGTCAAATTAATTTTGTGAAGGATTAATTGCATCAAGTAACAAAGTTTCAACAAAAATTTAAAGTGTACTACAACACATTCATCTATTGCGTAAATCTGACCTTGGTCGTGAATGCTTTGGGCGTAAGAATACTGTCTAGTTGCCCTGCTCTAATCTATATTGAGCAGGGTGTGCGCGGAGATCACCGCAGTTTGCTGTTGGTTCTCTTCAAGGGCAGGAGTAATGCCGGGTGTTCTAAATTCTAATTCAGTTTGTGGATATAGCTCAGTTGGAAAAATGGTATGTCCAATATAGACTTAGACAATATAATTTTTAGTTTTATGTTACGGGATCTCACAGTGGGAGTTACCCACTCATAGTAGTATATTATTTTCCTTCACAACGAGTTTTACAGATGATTCGTCAACAGTTATGGCTGTCATGTAGAACTTGATTTCTAACGACGCATATGTTTCATCGTGAAACATGTTATTGTTACTAATCATCCTTCCCTCCTCTAGATCTAGTTCTAATCTAGATTATATTACCTGATAATCGCACCACAATTATAATTTTACTATAACGTCAATACTTGTTTAAGTAATGCAATAATTTACCCATTTGTCAATGTAATGACAGACTTAGTGATGTACAGAGTATCTAAATCTCTGGAATCTACACTTACTTTAGTAGTACAGCGCTAAACCAGCTGGATGCTAATTCGGGGCGGTCGCAACGTGATTTTCACGTGGCTATGTCTTGTTAAATTCAAGGCCGCGGATTTAAGACATAAAATTAACTAAGTTCCATCTCTAGATCTAGGCCGAATTACTGGAGTCTGCCTGATATAGATTCTAGATCTAGATCTAGATCTAGATCTAAATTCTAGATCTAATATTTATATTTACTGTGTCATATGATTTTATTTTGAATACAAATCTAGATCTAGATCTAGAGCTCTATCTAGTATCTAGTACTAGATCTATCTAGATTCTAGATCTTAGATTTAATATAGAATAAAAATAAGAATAGATTTATAGATAGATCTAGAGATCTAGATCTAATTATTTAGGCTAGTATTATAATTTATTTAGTCTAGAACCTAGATTCTAGATCTAGATATCTTTATCTAGATCGATATCTCTAGATTTAAATAGGTTTTTTTTTCTCTAGTAGATCTGGATTCTACACTAATATTCTACAATAAATAGGTCTAGCCTATCTTGATTTCCTAAGATCAACTAGATTCCTCTAGATAGAGATTCTAGAGATCTAGATCTAGATCTAAATCGGGTTAGCTATTCCAAACTCTAATATAGAATTTGGATATTTTTAAACTTAATTAATATTTTAATTTTAAAAGGAATGTTTTTTTTTCAAGTACTGTTAGATCTATCTACTTAATTTAGTAAAAACCCAATTAGTTGTGTATGATGATTGTGTCAATATTTTTGTATGTGATCTTAATTTTTATAACATTTTCATTTAAGCCAATCAGCTTTATTGAATATAATCTGAATGTTATGTTTTTTCTGATCATTTTGTTTACAAATGTCAACCTTTTTTTTTCTTTACTTCACAGGCTTTCATTATAGACCCAGATTCTTTGAATTCCTACTTCAGTGATGGTATGCTAGATGTGGAAGACATTGACACTCACATCTTTGAATCTTCACCATCTTCTCAGTCATCCTTGGCCACTACCTGTGATAGCATTGATAGTGATGTTGATTTGCCTGATGATGAACACCCAGTGGACTTGATTAAATACTTGGATAGCCCTGATATTGATGCTGGCCTGAACATAAAATGTGAAGGGGACTGCAACATGTGTGATACACCCAATAAGTACATCAAGTACAGGGTGTCAGCAAGACAAGACCCATTTATGGGTATGGGAGCCATACAGCCACAGCCAAGTTCTATTTGTGGGACTCCAACTAGTGAGCCTACAAACATTCTTCTAGGACCCAATATGAATCCATTAGACTTTGACTTTGACCAAAGCTTCCAACAACAGCAACTGCAACAACAGAGATTTTGTGCTTGGGGACACATACCCAAAACAGACGATAGCTTGGATCTCCTAAATAAAAGCAGTGTTTATCCTAATTTCTTGGGTTTGTTTGAAGAGGAGGCGGAGGAGGTTGTATTCCCAGAGACCCCCTCACCTTCCAGTCACTCCAGTACAATCACAGGTGCTTATATTTAAAATATCTGAAGTGTAAAGTAAATTTTTTTAACAAATTAAAAATGAGGCATTTTAAATGTTTCTTGTAAATTATTGTTACTAATATGAACTTTTAAATTACAGGTGATGATAGTGATGTTGACATCGAGACAATCACTGATGCTCCACGTAGCGCAGACTATTGTGGATATGTAACTCAGGATTCTTCACCTGCGATGAGTCCTGCTGCTTCTCCTGGTCCAGTTGGCAAACTTAGTGGGAGCCTCATGACAATGCTTTCCAAGTCATCAACTGCTTCTGCCCAGCTGAAAGCCTTGTCTCCTTCCAGTGGGAAGTCATCAGTTGGATTTACTTCGTATGGAGTGTCCAGCTCAGCCTCCCTGGCTGAAAACTTAATGGCTGGTCGTACCAGTCTGCTTGGCCAGAAACGCAAAATGGCAAAGGAGAAAAAGATGAAGACCAGCATCCAGCCAGCCTATACACATATTCTGTGCAACAGTAACAGCGTCAACTTCCATGATTATGCCATGAGCCCTGGAGCTTGTGCATACCCATCATCCTCAACAGAAACAGGCAGACCCACTGTCCTGTCTAAGAGGATTTACAAAAGGAAGCAGCTGGCCTTAGATGCTTCTGACAAGGAGAAGCAACACCACCACAACCAGTTGGAAAGAAACCGCCGTCAGAAGCTGGCTGATTTGTTTGTTGATTTGAGAGACGAAGTGCCCAAAATAGCACATCAGGTCAAGGCATCTAAGGTAGTGATCTTAAATGAATCAACAACTTACATTAGAGAACTTCAAAAATTTCACAAACAACAAGAGGATGACATTTCTAGAGAACTTCACAAAAAAGAGTTGCTTAAAAAGCAGCTGCGCCAGCTACAGTCAAGAAGTGGGGTTAAGTAATAAAGTTTTTCTATGCAGTTTTGGACTAGTTTGAACTTTTGGTATAGAAGTGTGTGATGCAAGTACATCCCCTGATGTATGAATGTGAAAGTTAAGTAAGGTCTGTGAGTTTGCTTTGCTCTGATTAATATAATTATTGAAAGTGTAAGTTAAGAAAGGTTTGTTTGTTTGATTTGTGCTGATTAATGTAATTATTGAAAGAGTAAAGATGTGCAACAAATGCAATGTACATAAAAGATTTATATTTGAATGGTGGCTGTCAGGTCACTATATGAAGTATATGAATGGAGACTGGCCTGACATATGTTTCAAGGCTTGCTCTCATTTGTTTTTTCACTGCCTTTTTTATTTTCTTATTTTCTTTTTTATGATTTGAAACGGGTCCAAATTTCTGTTAAGTAGGACACTGTAAATTGTAAGGACAGTGATTTTTGTCCAGTTCTACTTGTGTGTCAAAAATGTAGCAAAGACATGGTAAATTTTAAGGACAGATTGAATTGTGTGTTAAGATTGTCCATTTCTACTTGCGTGTCAAATTGATAACTAAGACATGGAATTGTAAGGACACAATGATTGTGTTCAGTTCTACTTTGGATGTTAAGAAAAGTGTGTTCAGCTGTGAGATAATGTTCAGCACTCAATTTGTCAGATGTTGATATTCATTTCACAAATTTACAATTAAGTCTCCTGTATGAGAAAGTTCAATGTTTTTTTTTTTATTCTGGCATTTTAATTGGAATCTGTAGGCATTGATATAAAAATGTTCCCTTAATACTTCACCTCTGTTGGTGAATTTGTAGGCATTAGTATAAAAATGTTTCCTTAATATTTCCCCTGTTGATGATTTTGTAGGCATTAGTATGACTATTTTTTTCAATACTTCAAATGTTTTCTATTTTTCATACTTGCCTTAAGGTAATGGTCAATTTCTATAAACCACCAATTTGTTTTTTGTGAGTGAGCATTTTTCACCCAATTTTTTATAGCCCTATATTACACAGTGGTCTCCATACAGTGAAGTTGTCATGAACTTTTAACTTGTGTACTGAATTGTTTATGGTTGCAAGCTGTAATAAGTTCAAGATTGATGTTTTAAAAATAATGTAATATTGGGTTTAGATTGTTAACAGATTTGTATGTACAGTGTTATTTGCCTAGTTCTGTTCACTAGTATTAATGACTGATGTTAGTAAGATGCTCTAAAGGAATACAGCTTGACTGCTGACTATTGTTTGTTTTCTTGATGAAATTCTTGTTATGTAACATATGTACAGATTGTCAAAAGTATTGACAGTTTTAATTTGTGTGTATTTTTTGTTAACAGAAAAATTAAATGTAATGAACTTGGTGTGTTAAACAGCACAGTTTGATTTGATTATATTTTTTTGATGAATAAACTTATAAAAAGTCAAGACTTGTTACTTCCCTTATGTAAGTTAATTAATACAACAGTAATGTGCAGCATTCCTGGTTTATCAAAGTTTAAACCAAGGGTCCAGGATAGCATGCCTGAAACATGCGTACATCCGTTGTTGGCGGGCTTTTCCCTGTATGGGGTGGGAGGGACAAGATATGGGTCATGGTATGCCGACACACAGGGCACACCTTGTGTAAGGGTGTGTAGCCATTCATTATGCTGCACTTGCCGGTCTGTTCAGGTGACTTTTTTAATGCACTGATTAGTAACGGTAAACTGCACGGTCAATCTACATGACACTATACCGTCACATAACCTTACGGTAAACTACATAGCCTGATGGTTCACTACATGCTCACATAAATATATTGTGTAGACTCACTGTATAGCTTAGAATAAAATAACCAGCCATGATTCGACATATTGATATTATTCACCGGGGGGGGGGGGTTACTAAAATAGCTACAATAATTCAAACTAATGTGCAGTTAATGTTTGTGAGGACTGCGTGTGTAGGGGGGGGGGGGGGTCGTTACGTGGCTGTTTTGATGTTTGCTATAAGACACAACTGGTTACAACTCGTCATACAGGGCTGTTTTGATGTTTGCTATAAGACACAACTGGTTACAACTCGTCATACAGGGCTGTTTTGATGTTTGCTATAAGACACAACTGGTTACAACTCGTCATACAGGGCTGTTTTGTGAGGACTGATACTGTTGACGTGTCGTTTCCTGATGGTTCCGCATGATTGACTTCATTATGGGATCCAGGTGACCCCCGTTTTATCAGCTCTAACCTAATCAGTTGTTCTACAGATTGTTTACATGTCTACGGCTGGTGTACAGACATGCGACACACGGGCTGGTGTACAGACAGACATGCGACACACAGGCTGGTGTACAGACAGGCGACACACAGGCTGGTGTACAGACATGCGACACACGGGCTGGTGTACAGACAGACATGCGACACACAGGCTGGTGTACAGACAGGCGACACACAGGCTGGTGTACAGACATGCGACACACAGGCTGGTGTACAGACATGCGACACACGGGCTGGTGTACAGACATGCGACACAGGGGTTGGTGTACAGACATGCGACACACGGGCTGGTGTACAGACAGACATGCGACACACAGGCTGGTGTACAGACAGGCGACACACAGGCTGGTGTACAGACAGGCGACACACGGGCTGGTGTACAGACAGACATGCGACACACGGGCTGGTGTACAGACAGGCGACACACAGGCTGGTGTACAGACATGCGACACACAGGCTGGTGTACAGACATGCGACACACGGGCTGGTGTACAGACATGCGACACACGGGTTGGTGTATAGACATGCGACACACGGGTTGGTGTACAGACATGCGACACACAGGATGGTGTACAGACAGGCGACACACGGGCTGGTGTACAGACATGCGACACACAGGATGGTGTACAGACAGGCGACACACGGGCTGGTGTACAGACAGACATGCGACACACAGGCTGGTGTACAGACAGACATGCGACACACAGGCTGGTGTACAGACAGGCGACACACAGGCTGGTGTACAGACATGCGACACACAGGCTGGTGTACAGACATGCGACACACGGGCTGGTGTACAGACAGACATGCGACACACAGGCTGGTGTACAGACAGGCGACACACAGGCTGGTGTACAGACATGCGACACACAGGCTGGTGTACAGACATGCGACACACGGGCTGGTGTACAGACAGACATGCGACACACAGGCTGGTGTACAGACAGGCGACACACAGGCTGGTGTACAGACATGCGACACACAGGCTGGTGTACAGACATGCGACACACGGGCTGGTGTACAGACATGCGACACACGGGCTGGTGTACAGACATGCGACACACATGATGGTGTACAGACATGCGACACACAGGATGGTGTACAGACATGCGACACACGGATGGTGTACAGACATGCGACACACAGGATGGTGTACAGACATGCGACACACAGGATGGTGTACAGACATGCGACACACAGGATGGTGTACAGACATGCGACACACGGGCTGGTGTACAGACATGCGACACACGGGCTGGTGTACAGACATGCGACACACGGGCTGGTGTACAGACATGCGACACACAGGATGGTGTACAGACAGACATGCGACACACAGGCTGATGTACAGACATGCGACACACGGGCTGGTGTACAGACATGCGACAAACAGGATGGTGTACAGACATGCGACACACAGGATGGTGTACAGACATGCGACAAACAGGATGGTGTACAGACATGCGACACACATGATGGTGTACAGACATGCGACACACGGGCTGATGTACAGACAGACATGCGACACACAGGCTGATGTACAGACAGACATGCGACACACAGGCTGATGTACAGACATGCGACACACAGGCTGATGTACAGACAGACATGCGACACACAGGCTGATGTACAGACATGCGACAAACAGGCTGATGTACAGACATGCGACACACGGGCTGGTGTACAGACATGCGACACACGGGCTGGTGTACAGACATGCGACACACGGGCTGGTGTACAGACATGCGACACACGGGCTGGTGTTCAGACATGCGACACACGGGCTGGTGTACAGACATGCGACACACAGGATGGTGTACAGACAGACATGCGACACACGGGCTGGTGTACAGACATGCGACACACGGGCTGGTGTACAGACATGCGACACACAGGATGGTGTACAGACATGCGACACACAGGATGGTGTACAGACAGACATGCGACACACAGGATGGTGTACAGACATGCGACACACGGGCTGGTGTACAGACATTCGACACACAGGATGGTGTACAGACATGCGACACACGGGCTGGTGTACAGACATGCGACACACGGGCTGGTGTACAGACATGCGACACACGGGCTGGTGTACAGACATGCGACACACGGGCTGGTGTACAGACATGCGACACACGGGCTGGTGTACAGACATGCGACACACAGGATGGTGTACAGACATGCGACACACGGGCTGGTGTACAGACATGCGACACACGGGCTGGTGTACAGACATGCGACACACGGGCTGGTGTACAGACATGCGACACACGGGCTGGTGTTCAGACATGCGACACACGGGCTGGTGTACAGACATGCGACACACGGGCTGGTGTACAGACATGCGACACACGGGCTGGTGTACAGACATGCGACACACGGGCTGGTGTTCAGACATGCGACACACGGGCTGGTGTACAGACATGCGACACACAGGATGGTGTACAGACAGACATGCGACACACGGGCTGGTGTACAGACATGCGACACACGGGCTGGTGTACAGACATGCGACACACAGGATGGTGTACAGACATGCGACACACGGACTGGTGTACAGACATGCGACACACGGGCTGGTGTACAGACATGCGACACACAGGATGGTGTACAGACATGCGACACACAGGATGGTGTACAGACAGACATGCGACACACAGGCTGGTGTACAGACATGCGACACACAGGATGGTGTACAGACATGCGACACACAGGATGGTGTACAGACATGCGACACACAGGATGGTGTACAGACATGCGACACACAGGATGGTGTACAGACATGCGACACACAGGATGGTGTACAGACAGACATGCGACACACAGGCTGGTGTACAGACATGCGACACACAGGCTGGTGTACAGACATGCGACACACAGGCTGGTGTACAGACATGCGACACACAGGCTGGTGTACAGACATGCGACACACAGGATTGGGTAACAGACATGCGACACACGGGCTGGTGTACACACAGACATGTGGCACTACATCACTAGATGTCTACAATCTCACAGCTGGCACAACTAAATTCCAACATTGCCTAAACATAGTGTAGTATTCCAACCTCTTGAAAATAAGAAACGACGTGGATAGCCAGTGAAGGCGACTTTTTAAAATACTAGTCTATATAGACTTCGATCTAGTCTTCATTAAAGGACACATTTTACCTTGAGTTTTCAACTGAATGAAGAGACAGCACAAAAAAGTCACATGAAAAAAAATATGAAAAAAGTCACAGAAAAAGTCACAAATATGTATTAAGAAATATTTTGATTAACTTGTTTAGAATTGTAAAATGTTTGGTGTTATTATGAGGGTGGTGCTTTTATTCTTTAATAACATATTTATATATATATATATATATATATATATATATATATATATATATATATATATATATATATATATATATATATATATATATAAAGCAATGTATGTCTGTCTGTTTGTCTTTTATGCATTACTACACCTCTCATCACATCGTCGTGAAACTTTGGGAAGTTGTGAATATTTCTGGGGAGGTTTCTGCAAAAAAAAAAAAAAAAAAAAAATTCAAATTCGCAGGGGTGGAGCCCCAGCAGGGCGCAATTTATTTTTTCTCTATAAAAATTAAAGTCAATGGCGGTTTCTCTCCGTTCATCCGATCGCCATCAAACTTTGGTGAGTTTATTAGAACACTCTGGAAAAGGGTCTGTAAAAAAATAATTTTTTATTTCGCAAGGGCGGCGCCACGGGAGGGTGCGATTTTTCTCTATGTACTGTATATAACAATAAAAGTCGATTTTGGTTTGACACCGTTCATCCGATAGCCATGAGACTTTGGGGAGTTGATTAGAACACTACCTGAAAGGGTTCTGCAAAAAATATTTTTTTTAAATTTCGTATGGGCGGCGCCAGGGGAGGGTGCGATTTTTCACTATACACACACAAATTCTGTGGATAACTCAAATCTAAAAATAAAGTCACACTTCTAAAAATAACTTTGTAACGCGAGGAAATCCTTCTGTACAGTTTCGTCACCTTGCGAATGTTGAAAAAATAACTTTTTGTAAATCGAGGAACCATCCTGTAGAGTTTCGTCACTTTACGAATGATGCAATTAGCATCTATTTTTAGAAGATCCAATCAGAAATTAAGATCGAGCATCTAACATAGACCATTAGTATCGCTAACATATTACATCAGTCACACTGATGTTTGAAACAGGTCAAATATTTTTTTTACGTGTTAAAGAAAAAATCCTGTGCATTTGTGCCACTTTAGCTAATGACGCAATCTGCATCATTGTTAAGAGGATGCTATTTGACACTCTGGGTTATCCTATGAGCACGATGGCGCCTGTTGGTTTTAAGGAGCCAGGGGCCGTACGCGGCGCCTATGCGGTAGTGTAATCAGGGGCGGGGGGGGGGGGGGGGGCTCATGAGAGCGCCGCTCTACGTCCCTGATACATGGGCGGTCACCGAAGTGTGTTCTACCTCATTATTTGTGAGTGATTAATGACTGTACACTCAAGGTTTTCATGCGGTAGTGTAGGTAAACCCCTGTCCTGATATTTATGATCCAAGCGCATTTAAATAACTAACTTTTAGAAATCAAGGTCACGCGTATAAGAATATAGGATTGGTAACACATGGATGAAACCCTTCTTATATATTTCGTCGAACTACGGTCGAACTTTCTTCTATTCCCGCGGAAACGCGCGGGGATGGGTACGCTAGTAAACTATAAACTGTAAGAGCATTAGGGCGTATGGTTTTTAATAATAATCCGACTTTGATCTTCACAATAAGTAAACTAATCAGATAATTTACACAGCAGCCTCAATGGCATGCATATAGATTTATTACAAAAGATATGTAGGTACATCGCTATTTCTTGCATGTTTTTTTAATGGGTCTTTTCTATGTCGGCCTTGTCCGTCCACATGTTGTGTTAACGTTTTGGTCTTTTAACCACAGCCTGTGTACCGTGTCGGCTTTTTGTCTTGATTCTATCACCAACATGTTATGTAATGAGGTCAGTAGATGTGGACAGTAAAGGTGGCAGAACTTTTGTTGTGACGTGTTGAAGACAAGAAATCATATTAACTAGCGCTATATCTTCTTCCCAAGCTGATTCGAAGTTTGCACTTTAAAAACACAATGAAAACTGAGTAGGTTGGAACAATTATATATTGTAACCATACAAATACAACCTACACATATATATCTAAAATGTTTACACTGAATTAATTGTATGTTAATTTGAATACATAATACATATAAGTATTAACAAAGTACACGCAAATACACATTTGTGACCTTTGTCTTGCGACTTTTTTTACTTTCTCGTATATACAAAGTATAAAAAAAAAAATCTATCAAATTTTGAATAATTTCTGTTGACCGGTTTTCGCTATTTCTGATTTCTCAAAAAAAAAAAACGCAGGTAAATTATTAAAGTACTAATAATATTCCGCACTATTATGAACATTTTATTTGGCGTTCACATGGTGTGCAATTTTTTTTCCTACGAGATTTTATTCTATTTTAAAATAAACCGGTAGTGATCTCCCCTAAACTTTCTCGAATATTCTTATATAAAACAACAGGGGATGGTAACTGGGGATATAGTTATGATTTTTAATCCATTTTAAATACTGAAACTTTTAAAAATAGAATAGAATCTCAGTAAAAAACAATTGCGCACCAAGCGAGCGCCTAATAAAGGTGTGTATAATAGTGCGCAATAGTATTAGTACTTAATAAATTTACATTAGTTTTTTGAGAAATCGGAAGTAGCGTAAATTACTACTTCCGGTCAACGGAAATTACTCAAAATTTAACAGAAGGTAGAGAATTAGATCTTTTACTTACATGTGAAATTTCATTTATCTATCTGAAATAGTACTCAAGTTATAGGCTTTTGAAAAATTCAAAGTAGAAAAAGTACCACTTCCGGTTGTCGGAAATCGCTCAAAAGTTGATACGGATCTACGATTTTGATATAATACTTATATATGAAATTTCATCAACCTAGCTGTAACGGTACTCAAGTTATCGTGTTTACACACGGACACACAGACACACACAGACACACACACACACAGACATACGGACAAGATTGCAAAATTATGTTTTTTCGTATCAGTGAGGTGTAAAACGTCGAGATTTGTAAAAATCTCGATTTTTTTTTGCACGATTACAATACTTTCTCTATACTACGTATATACGAGAAAGTAAAAATTAAGCATTTAAAATTAAATTAAAATGGATTAAAAATCATGTCTATATCACGAGTTGCCATCCCCTTTTGTTACATATAAGAATATTCGAGAAAGTTTAGGGGAGCTCACTCCCGGTTTATTTTACCCTTTTTTTACTATCAAATCTAGCAGAAAATAGCCTAGCAGGTAGATCTATACTATATTATTAGGCCTTATTTATAACCCACTAGATCTATAGTGTAACTATAGTTTTAGTTTAGGCTTAGGTTACTCTTTTTTTTTTTTTTTGTCGTAACCTTTAAAGCAGGAAGTTTGAGTTAATCGTAACACTAAATCCAGAAGCTTTTTCAGTAGGAGATGACGTTATTAAGTTATTAACCCTTATTTATAACATATTTCTACATATACATAGCCTTTTATGACAGCTGATCAAATTCTATCGAACTTGATTAATTAATAAATAATTAAAGTATATTGCAAGTTAAAAACCTAATAATATTTTACTTCCGTTTCCGTGTAACTTGTTGTCTGCTGTTAGCAACATGGCCGCCTACAGGATACCTATCGTGGTTATTATAGGTGCTACTGGAACTGGAAAGTCCAAACTTGCGATTGAAATAGCAAAATACTTTGGAGGCGAAATAATAAGTGCAGATTCAATGCAAGTACGAATTTATTGACTTGTTAAAAGTTCTTAGATTTCAAGATGCTGCTCTTTAGACTTAGAGTTAGAGACTAGGGCTAGGCCTAGGCCCTAGGGCCCTGGGTCATCCTAACCTAAATAAATGTTTAATGACGTCACACTCGTAGGGGGGGAGGGGGGGTCCGTAATTTTGTGACGATGTGTGATGAGGGGGAGTGGGGGGGTTCAGATGTTGTGACGTCACATTTTTGCATTATAAAAAAGGGTAATCTATTGTTTTAGGTACGTAAAATCGCCAGCGGCTAATAATGTACGATAAAGTTACCTCATTTTCAAGGCTTTAATAGAAGTATATTGTGATATATTTGTGTCAAATATTATAGATAAATGAATAATAAACCTAAATCAATGGCTAAATATATCAATATAGTATATAGTAGTATTTCTCGCTAACTTGGAGGCGTGGTCGGTTGCTAACAACAATATGGCGCCCGGACCGGACGTTCGATTTTCGGCAATTTTTCGGCCAAATTCCAGCGACCTTCAACTAATTACATTTAAAAATGTTTACCACGCGCAAAATGGCGGGATTTCCGTGTCATAACAACAAACAATAAGTGGCAAGGCTAAATATGCCAGAAAAGCGTTTTAAAATTTGCTTTGGAGAATGAAGGCTAAATTTAAAAGTCGGTCTCATTAAAATTAATAGAACTTCTAAAATATCAGCCTGGAGGTCACAAAAATGAATTGGAGGTTGTAGAACTATTAGGTTTATCATTATATGAAGAAATAAATCAAATATTGCATGCGCTTTTTAAAATAAGACACGACTTTTGAATGACAACCAAATTTTTTATATTTTAAAAACCACGTGACCTCTATTTGATGATCACTAGTGGGGAACTCTGGGTACATGGCCACTTAAAAAGTCTAATCGCATTTGTGGTTTTCTTTACCTTCAAGGGTTAGAAGAGTTGTCATGGAGGGATGTGTTGGCCATGGCAGTGAGTGTCAATAAATATTAAATTAAGTAATTTAGTTTAAAACGAACTAAAAACTTCAAAATTAGTGGCTTATGGATTAAATATGTATGTCTATTATTCAGTGGTCATGTTTAAATTGAAAATTGCGTAGATTCTAGATTTAGTGAGAAAAACTAGTGTAAGAAATCAATTTTAAACTGCAGTGTTTGCGAGCAGGATTTGCTATATAAAAAGCGGCCATCTGTAAGTTAGAGTGGCTTCCCCTGAATCTTGCGCTATAAGTTTACAAAAAAAAAAATAAACAAGATGGCTGCTATAGTAAATGAGCATGGTTGCGTCTGTTGGAAACATCGCTAGTCTAAATTTATTACTGAAAAGTTTTAATTGTTTAAAAATAGGTACATAAATGAAACAAGGAAACATTTTTGTATTTTTCAAAATATAAATCCTCCTCAAAATGTGAAATAATTATTAAAATTTAAGGAGTCACCTGTTTTTCACATTACTAGTCGCGGGCGATTTTACGTACCTAATACAATAGATTACCCAAAAAAGCAATGTTAGAAAACGAATTTTAGACGTTATTTCGCATTTTAGATAACTGTTTTAATAAATTGTAATAGTTTAGACAAGATTTTAGAAAAATATCGATGTTTAAAAAAAATTCAACTGCAATTTTTAAGGGGGTTGTAGGTTGAGAGGGGGGGTCTGGCTTTTTGTGACGACGTGTGACAGAGAGGAGGGGGGGGGGGGTAAAAATTGTCCAAAAAAGCTTGACGTCATTTATGGATGACCCCTAGAGAGAGAGAGAGACTACCATACCATTTTTAATTTTAACTAAAAGATTAATCTAACAAAAAAAAAGTTGGGAGTGATCTCCCACAAACTTTCTCGAATATTCTTATTTAACACTATGAGGAATGGCAACTCAGGATATAGACATGATTTTTAATCCATTTTTAATTGGCCGATTCTAGCCGGAAAAAGATATGTATGGGCAATGGAGAGAAACCACGACTTGCCTTCGCTGCGAACTTTTCGATGTTACTGCGCATGCGTATGCTTACAAACCAATCGCAGAAGCCTAACCCTAGCCCAGCTATTAAGGTCACTGCACATGCGCAGAACTATCTTTTGCAGACCAGGTGGAGACATTGGGGTGAAAAATCTTTTTCCGAGTAGTCACTTCATATTTAATTACTTATACTTTTTTAAATAGAAACGAATCTCGTAGAAAACAAAATTGCGCACCAAGTGAACGCCAAACAATATGTGTATAATTTATAATAGTGCGGAATATTATTACAGTGATCTATCATCTTAGGTGCATAAAATCAGCTTAGGCTAGTAATATGTGAAAAAGTTGCCTCCTAGTTAAGGCTTTTTTAATAGAAGTATTTTGTGATATATTTGTGTCAGATATTATAGATAACTGAATAATAAACCAAAATCAATGGCTAAATATATCAATATAGGCAAGAAATTAACTTTAAACAGCAGTGTTTGCGAGCAGCATTTGTTGTATAAAAAGCAGCCATCTCTAACTATAATTTTACCAAAAAAAAAAAATTTAAACAAGATGGTTGCTAAAGTAAATGTGCTTTTTTGCATCTGATGAAAACATCACTAGTCTTTGTTTTTTACTGAAAAGTTTTAACACAATTGTTTAAGAACAGGTAAATTAATGAAATAAATCCTCCTAAAAATGTGAAATAATTACTAAAATTTAATGAGTCACTTTTTTTTCACATTACTAGTTTTGGCAGATTTTAATAATTTTATGTACTTAAAACGATAGATTACCATTAATACTTTATAAATTCACATGCGTTTTTTTTTTATAAATCTGAAATAGCGTAAATTACTAGATCTACTTCCGGTCTATGGAAATTATTCAAAATTTGACAGAGAATTTGATCTTTTCCTTAGTCTAAATGTGAAATTTCATTTATCTATCTGAAACACAGGATTCAAGTTATGGGCTTTTGAAAAATTGAAAGTAGAATAAGTTCCTCTTCTGGTTACCGGAAATCGATGAAAAGTTGATACAGAACTATAAATTTGATATACTGCTTATATATGAAATTTCATCAACCTAGCTGTTACGGTACTCAAGTTATCCTGTTCACAGACACACACAGACATACTGACAAAATTGCAAAACAGGGGGGTGTAAAACGTCTCAATTTTTTTTGTTGCTATGATACTGCCTTTATACTTCGTATACGAGAAAGTAGAAATTGAAAGAAGAATCTAGATTCTTGATCTAGATTTCCAGATGTAAATTAAAATCCAGAATGAAGTGAGAAAGATAAGTAGATCTAGAATCTAGTGTGATATTTTGAGATAAATATAATGAAAAGACTACTAAGAAGAAGCTGAGTTTAAAATCGTTTCAAACTAAATTATCTGCCCCTAATAGCCGTCACTATACCCGGCTCTATAATTGTTAACATTTAGCGTGAACCACAGCTCATCAGACCATGTGGGGGTGGTAGGGATATTCCTAGAGAGGAAGAGAGGGGGCTGCTAGGCGCGCTTACAGCTTGGTGTTTTCTAGGGTTTCCAAGAAGAGAATTATATATATAGATATATGTACTTTATATGTGGAAAATTTTTTTTTTTTTTTTAAATATTATATATTTACATGATTAATATAAACAATCATAAGATTAACAAGTCATAAGGCCTCATTGGGTTAAGACCTATTTGTGTTAACTTCATTGCTTGCTTACTAAAGAGGTACTAACTGGTCGTTCATAAATGACATTGACAGTGCACTTTGGATGGGAGGCCAGAAGTTTTTCTACTAGTGTGAGACAAGGAGGAGATTTTTTGAATTTGTGACGACACTTTTGCTAAGGTGCTGGAAAATAAATTTTAGAAATTTATCTTTGGTGTTAAAATAAATTTTTGGTTTTGTAAATTGCTGTAAAAATTACTAGAAATATTCACTGTTGATTGACCCCTGTAGATTTAGACTTATGTATGTCAGAAACAAAAATTCTGTTGTATCTTACAATTGCAAATTTGAGAGGCATGTTAAAGTTGTGATGCCATTTTAGGTATTGGTCCTGGCTTTTGGTGATGATTTGTAGTGTAAAGGTAAAAAGTGTAGAAATTCTTGACATGGTTTATGGTATGGATGCCCCCAGTGTAAGTGTGTAGTTTATTTATATGTTGTGCAGGGTTTATCTGTTTCAACACAAGCACCGCGTCTAAATTTTACTTTTTACATGCAGGACAAGAGTTTTGAGTTGGTTTTAAAACTTTGTACAGTGCTCAGTGTTCTGTCTGGTGAAGTCATAATTCGCTTTAAAGACGCAAATGACTGAATTTTCAAAGCTCTTGAGCTTCAATTTTTATAATCTCTAGTTATCTGGTGGTCAGAACTAGCAGTCACATCTAATAAAAATGAGCCCTACAATAACATTCCAATGTCTATGATGACTTCTTGTTTTGAGGACTACAACACTTTAGGGTATTTTATTTTTAACAATTAGCCAGAATACATCTAGAATTGTTGTGCAGCTATTTCGCATCTAAATCAAAAGTTTAAAACATTCTGAGTAGACATCTTTCCTTAAGATAAAAAGTTAATTATAGGTTATTAAATTTAAATAGCCAGTCTCAAATACTTTTATAACAATAATTGTATCATTAAACCTATTCCATTGCAATATATAACTTTAACAAGTTAACAAAACATATATTGTGATATATGCATATTTTAATAAAGAATTAAGGAAGTTATACTTTGTGCAATGATATATAATAAGGAATAATAATGTCACTAGTCACAGCCTAAAATAAATGTTTTAATTAATAATTAGGCTTATTTTTTTGCAAAGTTGATGTATAACACCAAACTGAGCCATTGTGGGTTAATTTAGGGACAGAATTAATTTAGTTGAAGTCATGAAAGATGAATTTGAGGAAAAATTATTTGTTGCACAGATTCTGGTATAAAAAGTTTAAAAACTCAAAATGCCCAGATGAATTGGTAAAATAGTGGTAAATAGTGAAATAACTATCTCAAGTTCTAGACATTTTTTTAGGGGATAGTATTTAGAATGATAAGAATGTTATTGTAAAAGAAACAAATTCATGAGGCTGACATTATTGATAATCCTTTTTTAATATACACCTTTGAATTTCTTTTGTAACAAAGAATATTACATACCATAGTTGTTATAGGAAATCTGGTAGTTGATTTAGTACAGCAGTTTGAACTACTAAAGTAAATGAAATGTAGCATAGCCTTAAAAGAATGTTGAAACCATGATTGGGTTTATCACTAAAATAACATGTGGTTGTCCATTGCAATGTAGAGGAAGGAAAGGACGCCTGGCTCTACTGATGGTCCAACATTCCTGTTTATACTGCTGCTGTACAAACAATCTCAACAGTTACAATAGACTACAAATTGTTGTTTTGACATATTCCTTTATTTAAAATAAATTATGATGCTTACATTTAAAACAACAGTATGATTCAATAATTATACTAAAATAAAGTAGTAGGTCTAAGCACTATCTGTATGTGTAGTTGTAATATTTTTAATGGATGCCCTGGAGTGACATGCCAACTGCATGTTACGTGTACCAAATGTTTTGCTTTTAGTTAATCTCATATGTGTTGTTTTATCTTGTAAAATAAATGTCTGAATATTTATTGATCAGATTTATAAAGGACTGGACATAATTACAAACAAGGTGACAGAGGAGGAGCAGGCAGAGTGTCCACATCACATGATCAGCTACCTCGAGGCTGATCGTAAACATTACAATGTTGTAGACTTCAGAGACAAAGCACTGCCTATAGTATCCTTATTAGTTTATCTATTGGTTTTGTATCTGTTCTAGGCACTATATGGTAGAATCCAAAAAGGTATGAAAAGTAAATGTCCTTAACCCAAGACAGATTCAGGGATTACTTCACAAGAAGAAGCTACCTGTTATTGTTGGGGGCACTAATTACTACATCGAAAGTCTTTTGTGGGATTTTCTTGTCACAAAATTTGTAAGTACCTTACCTATCTCCCATTATTATTTAGGAAGTTGCTCTACTTTAACTATTTGTATGTGATTTTATTTTAACAAACAATTCATAGTTTTCCTCACATATTCCTTTAGGTTATTTTATTTAGACTTAATAAATGGAATTCATACCTAGGCTTTCCATATAAAGTTAAACTGGGTAACAGCAGTGTAGAACAAGCTTTATCTGCACAGACAATTACATCTATAGTGCTAAACTCTGTGACCAATTACATCTATAGTGCTAAACTCTGTGACCAGACAATTACATCTATAGTGCTAAACTCTGTGACCAGACAATTACATCTATAGTGCTAAACTCTGTGACCAGACAATTACATCTATAGTGCTAAACTCTGTGACCAGACAATTACATCTATAGTGCTAAACTCTGTGACCAGACAATTACATCTATAGTGCTAAACTCTGTGACCAGACAATTACATCTATAGTGCTAAACTCTGTGACCAATTACATCTATAGTGCTAAACTCTGTGACCAGACAATTACATCTATAGTGCTAAACTCTGTGACCAGACAATTACATCTATAGTGCTAAACTCTGTGACCAGACAATTACATCTATAGTGCTAAACTCTGTGACCAGACAATTACATCTATAGTGCTAAACTCTGTGACCAATTACATCTATAGTGCTAAACTCTGTGACCAGACAATTACATCTATAGTGCTAAACTCTGTGACCAGACAATTACATCTCTAGTGCTAAACTCTGTGACCAGACAATTACATCTCTAGTGCTAAACTCTGTGACCAGACAATTACATCTATAGTGCTAAACTCTGTGACCAGACAATTACATCTCTAGTGCTAAACTCTGTGACCAGACAATTACATCTATAGTGCTAAACTCTGTGACCAGACAATTACATCTATAGTGCTAAACTCTGTGACCAGACAATTACATCTCTAGTGCTAAACTCTGTGACCAATTACATCTATAGTGCTAAACTCTGTGACCAGACAATTACATCTATAGTGCTAAACTCTGTGACCAGACAATTACATCTACAGTGCTAAACTCTGTGACCAGACAATTACATCTATAGTGCTAAACTCTGTTTCTTAAAATTCTACCTAGCTAGTCCAATAGTTGGTCATCTACATCAGCATTGACAGTTAATTGGGGACCTAGGTTCTCTTGGATGGGTGCTGGCACTCTGTTAATCCTTCAGTACTAGCAAGAACGCCTTCTTCGTTCTTAATTTTAGTTTTGGAAGGGATCCCCTCCAACACAATTTAGTATTACATGTCAACTGGTTATGCGCCATTGAGCCCATTGACTCCGATTTCAGCCTGCTTTTCTTTTTGGATTTGCTTACATAGCCTTTGTCCAACCAAGAACAAACTACAAGGCAGAAGTTGTTTGATTTTGCAGTTGTCTCTCCTAGAAGAGTTGCTGTCCCCAGCTAATGAGCCTCATCTGCCTGAGGGTTCGAACTCGGGAAGTTTCGGTTTAGCAGCCATGAGCTTTACCGAATCAACCACACCGACCCTTGGCAAGCATGCCTATAGTTTTAAAAAATGAGTTATCTGTACTTGCATTGAATCTGCACTTATTATTTCTCCTTTAAAATATTTTGCTATTTCAATTGCAAGTTTGGACTTTACCTATAGCACCTGTAATAATTGTTAGCTCCAGTCTCTATTTTTTATTTGAATAATTGACTAGTCATTTTACTATTCTGCACATACACACACTTATTGACATGATAGATTTGGTTCCAACAGTGAAGTTAACAGTAATATAAAGGTCCGGTAGTAGAATGACTTGCAGCTACTTAGTAGTCTACATGTTGGTAAATAAACCGTCTCTACCACTGTACATGCTCAACCTCGCTTTTGTTTGTAAACATACCAGTGGTGTCTGTTGTCCAGTTCTGGACAAGTAAGGTAGTGGTCATCCAGCAGACTACCTGATGTCTAATGCTGTCAGGCCACAACATACCGTCTCTTAACAAGATCTCACCCTTGCTGATGTTTTATGTACAAGAATATGATGTTGTTGTAATACGGTATTTGAATAACCCGAGCCAGAATGTTGAAACAAAGGGCAGTAAGTACGGTTTGCCGCCACTGTATGAAGGGTTTTTGTTGAGACAACTGAGCCTTCCCAGCATGTCCTGCCACCATTTCCACATGCTCAGCAAACTTGTCAGACTGTTTATTGTTGCCTACAGCCGCCGCATCCCCCACACATATCCTGGGTTTCTCTCACGGCCAGAGTCAACTGGCCCTGTGCTGTTTAAGTTTACCCTGCTTGACCAGCAGATAAACACTGGCTAATTCATCTCGGCGGAAACTCATGGGAATAATTCAACCCTGATGTCAGCGGTATACCGATGTCTGTTGTATACCGATGTCAGTGGTATACCGATGTCAGTTGTATACCGATGTCAGTGGTATACCGATGTCAGCGGTATACCGATGTCAGTGGTATACCGATGTCAGTGGTATACCGATGTCAGTTGTATACCGATGTCAGTGGTATACCGATGTCAGTGGTATACCGATGTCTGTGGTATACCGATGTCAGTGGTATACCGATGTCAGTTGTATACCGATGTCAGTGGTATAGCGATGTCAGTGGTATAGCGATGTCAGTGGTATAGCGATGTCAGTGGTATACCGATGTCAGTGGTATACCGATGTCAGTGGTATACCGATGTCAGTGGTATACCGATGTCAGTGGTATACCGATGTCAGTGGTATACCGATGTCAGTGGTATACCGATGTCAGTGGTATACCGATGTCAGCGGTATACCGATGTCAGTGGTATACCGATGTCAGCGGTATACCGATGTCAGTGGTATACCGATGTCAGTGGTATACCGATGTCAGTTGTATACCGATGTCAGTGGCATACCGATGTCAGCGGTATACCGATGTCTGTGGTATACCGATGTCAGTGGTATACCGATGTCAGTGGTATACCGATGTCAGTGGTATACCGATGTTAGTGGTATACCGATGTCAGTGGTATACCGATGTCAGTGGTATACCGATGTCAGTGGTATACCGATGTCAGTGGTATACCGATGTCAGTTGTATAGCGATGTCAGTGGTATACCGATGTCAGTTGTATAGCGATGTCAGTATATTCCGTAGAACAAATACTTTGAGCTCGAGTCTCTAGATGATGACTTCTATTTTATGACTGTACTATCGGCACGTGCTAAAAAAATGGAGAAGTCACCTTAGTTTCTATCATTAGGTCAACGCTCCAGTTACTTGGTCTATTTTTATATTTGTGGGTCAAACTCCAGTAGTAAATTGTTTGGTCTTTCTGATCGAAGCGTGAGTTTTTTGGTCCACTTGTACATCTTGTAGGGCATGGCTTTGTACATCTTTGTGTCTCATGCAGGGGGGTTCATCGTACACGGTACACACTGGTCGGGTGGGGGTGGTCTCATTAGGAGGTAAACCCTCTAGGGGAGGGGGTTTCACGAGCAATTACACGGGGGCGCGGTAATTGCACATTCAGCTGCAATTACATTGCGGGGGGGGGGGGGAATTTCACGTGGAAAATGTTTCACATTCTGTTTATGGGGGATGTGGTTTCACGTGCACAGTTACATGGGGATGGTAGTTTCTTGGGCGCTGTTACAATGTAAACAATTTACGTGAACACGAAGACGTGCGTTGTATATTTACAGGCGTTTTAGAAGTCAGAAACACAGTCGGTCAATGGTCCATTCGGCGTGTACTTTGGGAAATTGTTACATCGGGTAATTGTCCTTTGTTGCAAACGTCCTTTGGGGGAAAAAGCTTTACGGGGGGGGGGGGGGGGGGAGTTATACACCAACTGTGACGTGTGGTGTTGGTGTTGTGTATGTACCTCTACCCGTAGGCATTCACCTACATCACCTTATATTGATGCAGCACAATCATCTCCACATCTCGAGAAGTTTTAGATCGAGCCGAGTACATTAGCCCCAGATAAATGACTCCCTCTATATCAGCCCTCCCCACATGGTAATTACTTCCATCTCGAGGGTACGTATTATACATGTTATCGGTCTAGTTAGAAACCCGGTTTTCTATGGGATGGTAAGCGGCCGCCAAGAATATATCCCAACTCTAACCCCATCACTGTCTATCTATTAGGATTAGGTGTATTGGCTGTTTTATGGGGGGGGGGGGGGGCTGCCTGTGTGTAGGTGTACTTTACCGGTCATCGGAGGGAAGGACTCAGTTAAAGTCTTGCACAGTTTAAATCAGCGGCCTACCAAACCGTTTAGAATTAGATTGTTTTGACAAGAGGTGGTTATGGTATTTATTGCAGAACAAAGTTGTCGTATTTTTCACTGACAGTTGTATCTACACCCTCACACTTGTATACACCTCCCTCACATGTATACACCTCCCTCACAAACACCTCCCTAACACGTGCATACACCTCCCTCACTGACACGTGCATACACCTCACTCACACATACACCTCCGTCTCACACACCTCCCTCACACGTGCATACACCTCCCTCACACATACACCTCCGTCTCACACACCTCCCTCACACGTGCATACACCTCCCTCACACATACACCTCCGTCTCACACACCTCCCTCACACGTGCATACACCTCCCTCACACATACACCTCCGTCTCACACACCTCCCTCACACGTGCATACACCAGCCTCGGCTTGTATACCACCCTACCACCTGATGTACGACTACTAAGAGTGTGAATGAACAATCCAGCTTCCAATATTCAGAACTTGTGATCACCTAGATGACCGTAGCCAATATGTTGGCAAACAAACGATACTTGCACGTGCTAGTTTGTCTAGCCTTTCATCTTTATGTTAACGAGCAAACTCTTTCCTTTGTCAAGGTTTCGCTCGAACGCGAGAAGAGACGTACTAGTAAAACTTTAGCCATCGAGAAGTGTTAGTGCGGTTACTAGTATTTTTACCTCATTATCGGTATACTTCAAAAACAAATGTCTTCATCAGATA